GAAGAAGTGAGGAAAACCATAAACAACCTGAGCTGCGGCAGGGCATGTGGAGCTGACGCCATATCATCGGAATTTCGGAAATAAGTTTTAACGCATTGTGGCGTGCGCGGCTGGATTACAGATTTGCGCAAAGAATGTTGTAACGCACGGACAGTACTCGAAGACTAGAAGCAATCAATCACTTCCATCATTTCCCTTAAAAAATCCGATGCTTTCGACACTTGTGACACACGACGAGCCACTCAGGTTACGACGCGCTGATTTAGAGACTGGAGCAGACGACATATTGTCACCATCACTCACCTTAAGGATTTCGCAGAGGAAGTGGGACATCAGACGCATTTCGCGCTGACCGTCGGAGCGTCGTTTTGGCCGACGTGCGTGATGACGGAATGAGTGTTTTCTCCCTTCACAGCTTGGAAAGAATCGCTTGATTTGCTCAATGTCGAATCTCTGTTCGAAGCTCTACGCTAATTTGGAGTACCTGGCCGCATCCTCACATGTATCGGAAACAGAGAGGGCAGCAAAGCGTGCAAAATGCCAGACGGTCAACATACACTAGAGAGATGCGGCGGCCATCTTCAATATTTCAAGGCTGCACCGCTTTCGCCGCTCTTGTTCACCATGGTCACGACAACTGCAAAACGCGATGACGCGTGCCGAGCAAACATGTTGGTTGAATTGTTGTCTGCTGACGAGACGCTGTCCGCTGTGCGCGACCAGCTTCATATGCAATCGTTTTGGGTGCGCGGGCCGGTATGGTATTAAATCTGGAAATGGGACCCCCCTGCTTGTGTGTATCCGGGCGTTGCAACGTAAGCCTCACCATGCCGCAGGGAGAGCCAAACCCAGCAAAACGATCACTCTTGTATCTTGGGGCAACAATTCCGAGTTCAGGCCGGCTGTCTGCAGAATATTGCAAACAATTGGGATAAACGTAGGGTGAAATTTGAAGACGCAGACGTGAATGAAACCACGTAGCTACGGGGACAGCGCGTACATGTCAAGTTCCCCAGGTCCTTGTCACAGCAAGTGCTAGGAAGTTTGTAGTTTTACATAGATATATGATTATATAAAATATAATCTAGACTGTCCTGGAGGATCCAGGAAATCCTGCAGCCCTTTGTTGCTCGAGGAAAAGAGCGACCCTCACCTCCCCCCTTTCTCCGCGAGGGGGGTGGGTGCGCGTGCATGGTAGCGGAGCTCGCTTGAGGATCGCGGGCCGCTCCGCACCCCGGCGAGCTCAAGGAGCCCCTCAGCAGCTGGCGGGCCGATCCACGCGAGCGCCGAGAGGACCCCTTGCTAGTCAGAGCTGCGGTCAGACCCGCGCTCTGACAGTGGAGGCCAAGCAGCCACGGAGAAGGCCAAGAAGCCGAACAAGCGAGGAGGCAGGTCGGCGGACACGCGTCAGCACCGCGAGCTCCGAGGGACCGCCTTTAGGAAGCTCAAGGCGTGCGGCAGCAGAGCGCAGCTCACGCAGGAGGAGCGAGCAGCGGTGACGAGGCAGCTGAGAAGCGACATCGAGAGGATAGGGAAGCGTGTCAGCGACGTGCTAGACTATCAAGATGGAGCAGCAGCTGCAGCAACTGGTCGATCAAGTTCAGAGGCTGACGACGGAGAGTCAGAACATGAGACAGGAACTTCAGAACAGAGACGTGACGATCGCAGAGATGCGAGGTCAGCTTCAAGCTCAGCAACAGGCTCAGCAGCAGCGGGTAGCCCCGCGCGGCGAGATGATGGATCCGAAGATTCTTCACAAGGTGAAGCCGTTCGACGGCCGCAGGGCGAGTTGGAAGACGTTCAGTTTCCAGTGCAGAGCGTACCTGATCGCCCAGGATCGAAGGTACCGAGATCTTCTGGAAAGGTGCGAGGACGGAGCCCAGGAGGTGGACAACGTCAACCTGGACGCGCAGGAGGAAGAGCTAAGCACGCAGTTGTACTACGGCCTGGTCCTGGCGATGCCCGAGGACTCAGTAGGCGAGCTGATCGTGAGGAACAGCCCAGTAGGAGAAGGAGCCGAGTGTTGGAGGAAACTTCAGAAGGAGTACAACCCGAGCGAGGCAGGAAACGTGCTGGCGATGTGGACCAAGCTCACGGACACGAAGTTCGACGCCAAAGAAGACGTGATGGTGAGCATCAGCAAGCTGGACGAGGACATGACAAGGTACCAGAAGATGGCAGGAGAACCAGTCTCGGACCTGATCAAGCGAGGCATCCTTACAAAGGCGCTGAAGGATCACGACGAGCTGCAGAAGCACGTGTTTCGGAACAGCAGTCGGCTAAGTACGTACGAGCTCCTGAGAGCCGAGGTGGTGTCGGCGTTGATGGCAGAGCGAGCGGTTCAGGACGACCCGATGGAGATAGGCGCGCTGAAGGGCGGAAAGAGACCGTGGAAAGGCCGCGGCAAAGGGAAAGACGGCAAGGGCAAGGAGAGGCCACCGAATCCCGACGCCGAGATCGAGTGCCACTACTGTCACAAGAAGGGCCACCGCAGCGCAAACTGCCGAAAGCGGATCGCCGACGAGAAGAATACATCCGAGAAGGACAAGAAGGACAAGAAGCAGCTCCGAAAAGAGAAGGGAAAAGAAAAGAAGAAGATCGGGGCAGCGGCAGTCAGGGAGCTCGAAAGGTTACGACAGGCAGGAGTGGGCACAGGAACAAGTTCGACAGCACCTACACAACAGATGTTGGGAAGTCAAGGAAGCGCCGACAGCGCGATGACTCAGCAGGTGCTGCGCCCAGTCAACTGCGCGCTGCAAGCGAAGATGATTCTGGCCCTGAGGGCAGAGGTCTCAAGAAGCGCAGCCACACGATCGACTGGAAGTACTGCTTGCCTAGCTACCACCAATATGTCTGCTGCTCTTGCAAGAAGACCTTTGAAGGATGGCGATGGCACTTCGATCAGTGGAAGCTGGACTACTGTGCCGCGTGTGCCGAGTACTGCCTGGACAACTGGTTCAAGGACGAGGAAGAGCCAGACGACAACGAGAAGCCAAGACCAAAGAAGCACAAGAAAGACTATCAGTAAGTGCTGCGATGTGCCAGCTGCGGTGAGCCCCGCGCTGGCCGGCCCCAGGCATGTCACCGTCGCTGGTCTTCGGCCCGTGGATGAAGATCAGAGCCCTGCAGATGACCGATTGCGGTTAGCCCCGCTTCGGAATGCGATCATGCTCGACTCAGGTGCGCAGATCAGTGCGATACCGAGATCACAGGTGACCAAGCATAACTACACGCCGACGGACAGCAACGTTGTCGGCTTGAAGGGCATAGGAGGCGAGGAGATCGAGAGGTACGGCCACGTGGAGCTGAACCTATCCCGAGGAGGAGAGGTTATTCAAGTCGGTGCAGAGGTTGCCGATGTGGAGTACCCAGTTGTGGCTACAGATGCTGTAGTACAACGTGGTCAGAGTGTTCTTCATAGCCCTGCAGGTCACTGGATCATCAACGGTACCGTCGAGCCACCTGACGGAGCTGAGTTCGTACCTCTACGGCGTCACCAAGGCAACTACTACTTAGAGTACGATCACATCATCGACGGCCAGACTCAACCAGAAGCTTCAAAGGTAGCTGCGGTCCGAAAGACGCTACCGAGGAAGGTACCAGCTGAACAGGAAGCTGGATCTTTGCCGAAGGTTCTAGGTCCTGAAGCTGATGAGACCACAACTGTGCCAACGAGAGTGTTGAAGACTCCTCACCAACCTAGTGCTGCGGAGAGAGCCGCGCACGAAGGGCATCATCTACCTTTTCGGCCTTGGTGTCCCATCTGCGTGCAGGCTCGAGCAGACGATGACCCACACCACGCTCAGGAACCAGCTGATGAGAACAAGATCCCGAAGGTCATGTTCGACATCTTTTACGTAGGGACGGACCAGCTGGCTGCGAAGTACAAGCTTAAAGGAGGTTACTTCAGCATCAGGGAGAAGATGTCGGTCACGAAGGCCGAGCTAGACCAAGCGGTCTCTGTCTTGAATGTTATCGACTGTAAGATCTTGGCTCAGGCGACGTTGTACGCGAACAAGGAGACGGATGACTACAAGGTGTCCTTCCTGCTAGGCGTGCTGGAAGCTTGCCACACAACAGTCATACTTCAGACAGACCAGGAGCCTGCCACCATGGCTCTGGCGCAGGCAGTTCGAGATCGCAGATCACACTCAACCTTGGTGCGGGGATCACCGCCCTTTTCCAAGCAAAGTGCAGGCTACGCTGAAGGAGCTAACAAGCTAGCAGCTGGTCTACTTCGAGCCTACAAACTGAAGCTGGAGCACAAGCTGGGCTGTGAGATCAAGATGACGGATCCGATCGTGCCATGGCTTGTGAACTCAGTGGGGTGGATGATTACCAGATTCCAGCCTCGCAGTCACGGAGGTTCCTCCTACAAGATGCTCTACGGCAAAGAGTACAACGGCGAGATTGCGGAGATGGGTGAGCAGGTCTGGTATCGGATCTCAGCCAGAGTTGCCGCGGGACGTGGCAAATGGGAAGCCCGCTTCGCAAAAGGAATCTGGGTTGGTAAGAGTGAGCTGGACGATACACATCTCGTGATCGATCCTGAACGTGGAGTGCAGAAGGTCAGAACGGTGCGAAGGATGCCTGAGGAGTTCAGATGGCAGCCCGAGCTCATCCAGCACATCAGGGTGACACCCTGGAAGCAGACGCCCGACAAGAGTTCAGGAACGATCGGACGCAGCATGTACATCACGGAGCGCATGATCGATGCTCATGGTCCTACTGACGAGTGCAGGAAGTGCAGTACAGGATACGGTTCGCTTTCGGCAGCCTGCCGACAGCGTTTCGAGACCATTCAGGCCGACTTGCTGCGCGAGAAGTTGGCAAAGGACCCTGTGGCCCCTGAGGCTACAGTCGTGGTGCCAGCCCCGGCTGCGGGTAGCCCCGCGCCTGGAGCCGCACCAGGAGGAGCAGCGGCATCAAGCAGCAGTGAGGTTGCGGTGAGCCCCGCACCTGCTGCCAGCGACGTAGCTATGGTCCCTGGCCCAGGAGAGGCTGAGGTGCAGACAGCCATGGACACGGAGAGTGGCGAGCTCAGGAGCGACTTTCGGCGAAGTGCCCCAGGTGAAGTTCGTGAAGGAGCTGAGGTCAAGAAGCCCAGGGTAGCAAGCATTGGGCATCTCTCTGTTTGTGAGTTGGCAGTCTGCGAGGAGGGCTACGACGAGAGCTTCGACCCCATGTGGGATCCACACCCAAAGCGCAGTGCGAGATGTTCCGAGAGGTGTGAGAAGCACTCGTCACGATGCCAGCTACGAGAATGCCACCAAGCTGAGTGTGCATGCAGGAGATGTTTGATGAGCCACATCGGCACAATCAGGAGCCACTTCGGAGATCCTGAGGATCAGCAGGTGGAGCAGATGGTTGAGGTGAGCGCCGAGCTGCATGAGAAAGACCAGTGGAGCCCAAAGACGATACACTACGATTATTATACTGGAGAGCCTCTGGATGAGGACCTGTATCAGAAGGGTCGCGACGACGAGCTGCAGGCCATGAAAGACTACGGGGTCTACGTGGAAGTGGCGACATCGACGGCGACTGACGGCAAGCACATTGGAGGTTTCCCGATAGCCCACATGAAAGAAGGAAAAGTCAGGTGGAGGTTCGTAGCAACCGAGGTGAACAAGTACGAGGTCAGGGAGGACAACCACCAAGGCACGCCCCCGCTCATGATTGTCAGAGCGACGCTGAGCCGTGCCGCTTCAAGTCCAACTTCCAGCGGGCAGCACCTGCGGAAGATACAAGTCTGGGACGTCAGGAAGGCTTTCTTCAATGCTGACTTAGACGAGACGATCTACGTGCATCCTGGGAGAGAGCTGTGTCCGCCTGGAAGGTGCTGGTGGTTACGCAAGGCCATGAACGGTACCAGGAAGGCGTCGCAGATGGGGGGTGAGCTTGTGAGAACTACTATGGACGACGGCCATTGGGAATGCTTGGTTGGAACTCCTAACGTGTTCTACTTACCTGCTAGCCCCAACACAGCCCCCTTCGACGAGGATAGCACAGCGATCTGCCATGGTGATGACTTTCTTGCTGAAGGCTACGACGAGCAGCTGGACGAGCTGGACGAGTTGTTGAAGCAGCAGTTTGAGGTCACGGCCAGCGCCAGACTTGGACCAGGAGCGGTGGGGCAGACTACATACCTCAAGAGGACGATCGGCTACACCGACAAGTTGCCAGGTTGCGAGGAGCCAGGTTTCTTCTGGACTGCCGATCCCAAGCATGTGGACTTCATGATCAAGTGGACGCAGAAGCGAGGTTGTAAACCAGCTCCTACTCCAGGAACGAAAGCTACAGGACAAGGCCGACGAGACAGTTTAGACCTTCTTTCCAAGGATCGTGCTCGAGAAGTGGCGGGTGCAGCAGGCACCGCTCTTTACCTTTCTTCGGACAGGCCCGACACGATGTACGCCAGCAAGACAGCGATGCAGCACGTCTCCAACCCGAACGTCTTGATGCATGCGCGTGTTCAGCGACTTGGAAGGTACTACGAAGGACAGCCTGTTTTGGTCTGGTGTTACCCACTTCAAGGTACTCCTGAAGGCATTCGTGTAGATGGTGATGCGGATTGGGCACCTACGAGTGAACTACAGCGGCGATCTACCAGTGGAGGAGCTGTGAGGTATGGCGACCACACTTGGGACTGCTACTCAGTGACGCAGAGTACGATAGCCCTAAGTTCAGGGGAATCCGAGATGTATGCTACGGGAAGTGCGACAGCCAGAGGACTTCAGTGTAAGACTTACCTGATCGAGACCCAGAGGCCCTGCAACCTGAAGATCTATAGTGACAGCACAGCTGGACGTGGCATGTGCAGCCGAGTTGGGGTGGGCAAGGTCAGGCATCTGGAGCTGAGGTACTTGTGGATTAAGGAGCGGTTGCGTCTCAAGGCGTTCGAGCTTCACAAGGAGGACACCAGCAAGATGACAGCCGACATGCTCACGAAGTACAGCGAGTGGCCGACAATCGAGAAGCATTGCACCACTCTCAACCTCAGGTTCGGAAAGCAGATGACGGGCTTGAGCGCACTGGCAGTTTTCACGGAGGTCGTGACGAAGGCGTCAGGCGAGAAGGTGACAGTGTACGGAGGATCTGACGAGGTTGCGGTTTGCCCCGCGCCCTTTGTTTTTTCAGTTGTTTTCTTTGTTCTTGTTAGTTTTGTGTGTTTTTCTTAGTTATTTTGGGGGTTGCTTCTTGTTTCGCGTTTTTGTGGTTTTTTGGTTGCTTTCTGTTTTTGTCGCGCCTGTCAGCAACTATGTGGAGAGCGGGAGTTCAGGTTTCTACTTGAGTTGGGGACTTGTCATGGTGATTTTCCGTTTTATCTTTTTTTTTCTTTTTTTTATGCCTGGCAGCGAGTACTTCTTTTTTTGTTCGTTTTTTTTTTTTTTTATCTCACATGTTTTTTTTTTCTTATTGGGGTGCTGGTGTGGTTGCTACTTCAAGAACTTCTACGACAAGTTCCTCCTCCAGGGTGCGGTTAGCCCCGCCTCTGGAAGCACTTGCCCACCATCTGCGCGGGCTGACGTCGAGTTCAAGACCGTGTGTGCACAGCAGGACAAAGGTGCAAGGCACAAGCTCTTAAATACGTTTCTTGTGGCTGAGCTGCGAGCTGTCTTGAAGGCCAAGAGCCTGGCCGTGTCAGGGATCAAAGAAGACCTGGTCACGAGGATGATCAAGCACGGAGGTGTTCTGTCGGATCGCCAGGCCAAGGAGATCGAGCAGCTGCGGGTGATGGCTACAGCGCATGGACCTCTTGCCAAGCTTAGCTTGCAGGACATCAGCAGTCCAGAGGCTGCGCAGAAGTGGATCGAGACGTTCAAGGGCGAGTGCCGAGACCGTTCCAGAGGCTCTCAGGTGATCCACGGAGAGGGCTAGGAGAATGGTCGCAGGAAGCACTACGACGGCCGAGGGTGAGCTTTGTTTTACAGGCTGCGGTTTGCCCCGCGCCTGCCCTCAGCGGGTAGCCCCGCGATGGGTTTAGGGGGCCAGCGCCGTTGCGACGCCTGCCCAGGGAGCACAAAGAGGCTTCCCTGTGGCTCACTTTTCTTGGCTGGAGGCCGAGCCGCTTCCAGCGCCCAAGGAGAGGTGCTAGGAAGTTTGTAGTTTTACATAGATATATGATTATATAAAATATAATCTAGACTGTCCTGGAGGATCCAGGAAATCCTGCAGCCCTTTGTTGCTCGAGGAAAAGAGCGACCCTCACCTCCCCCCTTTCTCCGCGAGGGGGGTGGGTGCGCGTGCAGCAAGGTAATGTATGTGCTATACTCGGCCTGGCTGAACACGGCATATCGTTGTCAACCCATTGTTTTTCCAGCCAGGTGCATTCGAGAGGTGCTGCTGCTGGCAAGGCAAGAATTCTACACAGCGCAGCTTTTGAACTTCTGTAGTCAGGGAGCATCGCTCGGCCACACTGCTTTTGATTTAGTGAGGCGCCTTGCACTTCAGCACGGCAGCCTGCGGCCAGCTACATGCGTTCGCGCCCGGGTTGTGGGGCGGCTGAGGCAGGAATGGGCGAAACGCCTGCTGAGCACGATTGGCCCACACTTCGCTTCCAAGGAAGCCGCGTTACAGCATTCGCGACCCCGCTGCCTGGCGAAAGTTTGTGGCTGATTTTGTTTCTCCTCCTCCTCCTCCTTTCCCTCCTCCCCTTGCCACGCGTTTTACCGCAGACCAGTGAGATCAGGCTGGGCACGCCTTCTTTGCCTGCGCGGTGCGCCGTATGGCATTAGGTACCAGTGCGAGCACTCGTTTGCAAAGGGTTGGGGTCTTCGCCATGCTGATTTACAGACTCGTGAGCACACCGCCAAGGCGAAAGGTTCATTGCGAAAGCTGTTCGCGCTGTCGGTGGTTTCAAACCTCAGGGTCCGTGATTTCAAGCCTCAAGGTCGCAAGCCGGGAGGAAGTATCGGGCGAAATGCCGGGACCGCCCCAACGCCGCGCTTGCGGGTGCGACAGGAAGGAATTGTGCAGAAGGAAAACGGGCTCAGAATCGAGGAAGCGCAAACATGGACCACGGCGCGTGGATGAGCAACCTGCCCGTTTCTGTGCACAAAACGGCGCGCTCCGCTTCTCAATCAGGCGGTGTTGGCCCCATGCTTCGGGGTACGCCAGACCCACGGATCCGTAATCCACGTTGACGTGCGCCCGATGGGAGGGATGAGGAGGAAAGGGGGGGAGTAGGTGTACCTAGCATTCCCCAGTGGGGTCGAAGCTGATGGAATCGGAGGATCGTGTCTCATCGACGATGCATTGTCGATGCGGTTCGATGGCGAAACTGTTTTTTCTTGTGGCGACGGCCCCGATGCATCGCCGACGTCGCCGATGCAGTGGCGATGCGCCGCGGTCCCCGGACCCGGAATAATCGGACCCCATTAAGTAGGCCGCTCGTGTAGGATGAGGAACAGAAAAGGCCCTCTTCGTTACTGTTGTTTGTTCAGGTGGCCTCTTTTCGCTCCCGCGCGCGCGCCCGCGCGGTTATTCCGCGAGGAAGCAACCGCAAAACGGCGGGCGCGGTGGTCTGCGGCTCTCTCGGCGCCAGGACGCCTCTTCTATCGGCGGTAATGGGGGAAGGGTGGACAACCGGTGGTGATGGGAAGAATGTATAAAAGTAGTGTCACCAGTAGTGGTGTTCGCGGTGGCGGCGATGGTATTGGCATTGGAAGTTCTAGTACTAGTAGTAGTGGTAGTAGTAGTAGTAGTAGTAGTAGTAGTCGTCGTCGTCGTCGCAGTAGAGGTAGTAGTAGTAGTAGTAGTAGTAGTAGTAGTAGTAGTAGTAGTAGTAGTAGTAGTAGTAGTAGTAGTAGTAGTAGTAGTAATAGTAGTACTACTAGTAGTAGTGGTAGTAGTGGTAGTAGTGGTAGCAGTAGTAGTAGCAGTAGTCGTAGTCGTAGTCGTAGTAGTAGTAGCAGTAGTAGTAGTAGTAGTAGTAGCAGTAGTAGTAGTAGTAGTAGTAGTCGTAGTCGTGGTGGTCGTGATCGTAGTACTAGTAGTGATA